TAGCATTATCTTTCTCTTTGATCTGGAATGGGTGCTTTGTTCTGTGACTTTCTGCAGATGTTCCTGAAGGTTGTGTTATAATAAAGGAACACATTCCCATCACAAATTTATTTACCTGCAATTGGTTCAACGAAGTTGATCGATTTACCTCCAGGGATCAGTTAAGCTTCTCCACAGTGAGGGATAGAATCATGAGAAAAGTTGATTGGAGCATTAATATGTTTTTGGATTGTGAAAGGCGGAATTTTGTAATACAGGTAATATCTGTGGTTTGAAAAATTACTGTATTTCATTCAACATGTTTTGTTTATTTGGAATATTTTAGGTTTGTCAGGATGTTGTAGAGTCGCAGGGTTCTGTTGAGCGATTAGGTATTTTTATTTAGTTCCACCAACGCTTGCATCTGTGTTTTGCAATCTTGGCGATTTAGATGCTTTGTTGTGCTAACGGTGCTCTGTTTAGAGTCCGGGAATTACTTGGAAAATGGCTCATTTTTCCCAAATAGAAATTGTGTGCTGTTTGAACGGTTCTTTTCATCTTCATAGCATATGAAGGTAAAAGCTTATCCTCAGCACGAAGGTACTAGTCAAAGTAGATTAACTAATGGTAACTGGTAAAGTTTACTAGGATGTCAATGTGCCGAACTATGCTATAAGGTCCTCCTGTCTCTTTTTCGTTCTCTTCCTTTGAATGCATAAGCTTTACATGTTATTATATGTTCATAGTGATTGCAATGTACAGGCATACCACAGAGAGTTACTGGAGCACATGCCTCCTCCCCCACCTCCTAGGGTTATTGTTCGTCGTCCGCCATCTTTGTCTCATGGTACCACATCTGTAAAGACTCCAATCGGGAAGAAGATTTCTCAAAAGCGTGTTCGAGGAGATAAGAAGCGCCATCGTAAGGTTGCTGGTGGTAGTAGAGACAGCAAGACATTCTAATTTTTCTTTCTCTTGTTTTCCCCTTGAGAAATCTTTGACTATAGGAAAAATGTAATCTTCCTCCCCCCTTGTCACAAATTATATGTCGCGGGGTAGGAGGATTTGGTTAGATATGTGCAGGATAGGAAAGGACAGATAAAAGAAACTCAAATTTTTGTGTTGGAATTGTTGATATCATTCAAGTTTTTGTTCCTTTTTCTTCAAGTAGCTGTGTATAATCTTTTGCCATGTTCCTCTTGCTTCCTCCAGAAAACTAGTGACAGATAAATATTGTTTGACGTCCCATTTCAGAATCCTTTTTCAACGTGTTACGGTTTGTCTTACCAACGTTGATTTTGTTCATTTTTTCGTATTGACACAAAACGATCAATCGTTCATCGTTTGAGCTCTTAATGTGAAGGGCTGGGAAAGCTAAAACATACAAGGAAAGCAAATTGTGCAGAGAAAACGGAGGTTGTTGATGCACATGCCATTGAAGGTGGGAGAGGAGATGCGAGGAGGTTTGCTTTTGCAAGATGGAAGGAGAGGAGCTGTAATCATGTGATCCCGTACTCTGGCCATTACTTGGCTATGCATTGGTAAATGTGCCCGATGAGTTTGAGGGATTGAGCAACACACCAAGAGTGGCGATTTCCGGACATGACGTGTTACACGATTTGCAATTCGCATGAATATAAAAGTATAAAACACGTGAATAGGATTAAACATAAAATTTCTCAATTTTTTTTTAAAGTATGGGATATTGTATTATTAAATTATTGCTTTTATATATTTTGTTTACTAATCAACCTGTGGATTGACACGAACACGACATAAATATAAGTAAGTTAACTCGATACATTCAATGATTCAATCCCTAATAATAAGCAAATGTACAAAGATAAGCCTTTTGAATAAAAAAGAAGGCCACTTCGACTTCCACTTCCAGTTCCACTTCCACAGCTGTAGCCTGCAAGTGAGGTGGTGGTCTCATTTGATGGTGATTTCTTCTATGTTATGTAAATCTCAATGCATTAAGATATAGTAAAGTTGCTGTCATTGGGTTGGTATAGGAGAGAACAAAGCAGGACAGCTTGCTTGTACATGGATTTACAACCATCCATCTAAAAGCCTTTGCCTTTGGGTGCAGAAGATTTGTAGTTGTTTTTTGGTTTTATGTGCAGATGCAGAAGATCCTGTCAGCACCAGCTCACAGTGTGAAGCGGGTTTCCTAATTCCATGTGGAAAAGTTTGAAAGATTCACAACTTGAAGTGGAAGTCCCTTCAAAGTCCTACTTCTTATACAGATTTTGCTGAGTAAGTAACTATTCTTTTCTTCAGACGATTTTAAATTTGACGGATCATAATTTTAAAAAAGGACGTGAGAAAATATTTTCTTGAATATAGTATTTTTTTGTCCATGTAATAAATTTAGCCTAAAGTAAATTAGAAAAATAATGTAGACCCCCAATGGTTCCATGAGGGTGCGTTTGGTACGTGGGACGGGACGGGACGGAACGGGACGAGACGTTCCGTCCCGCGTTTGGTACGTCAAAAATGGGTGGAACGGGCTGTTCCACGGAACAGATTTTGGGTGTTTTTGCGTTCCACCTCCCCCCTGGAACGGGTTTGTTCCACGTCTGTGGAATACACTGTTTTACCATTTTAAGACAAATATACCCCATGTATTTTTCAAAAATTACACCTTCGTTCCGTCCCGTCCCATTCCGTCCCGTCCCGTCCCGTTCCGTCCCGTCTGCGTACCAAACGCACCCTGACTCCACAAATGTTTCAATTGCTTTGCAGAACAGGGAATCAAAAGCAATGTTTAAAACGAAAATTAATGAAAATGTTTTAAAAACTTTGAGTTTTAACGATAAAGATAAGATAAAGAGTAAAGTAAATAGTAACGTGATTGACTTTTTAGTATAAAAAAAATGTAGTTTTCGTTATGTTTAAATGTATGATCTTTTCCATTTAAAGCATCTTTAAATATCTACAGCTAATCAAATCAATTAATATAAAATAAAAATTCACCACAAATAGAAAAATCCCTCCACTGACAATCAGCTGTTCGGCATGTTGTAGTTGCTGAAATATCTCAATCGAGATTCATTCCTCTTTCCTCTCTCCCCTCTGTCAAAACTGTAAAACCCCCTTTTTTCCAATTTCATTTCCTATCAGAGTCCCAAGATTTGATTCATGTGAAAAACATTGATAAATAAGGTTTGGGGTTTTGTTGGGGTTTTCCTTGTTTGAGGTTTGATTCTTTATTTCAAACCTTAAAATCTTGAAATCTTGGTCTGTTGGTCTATCTGTCATCTGGGTTTCTCGAGTTTTAGAGTGGAAGCTAATTAAGGTTGGCTTCTGATTAGTTTACTTGCTCTGGTTTCTGGGATTTGTAAAGTGAGACTTAAGGGTTTAGGGTTTTTGATATATATGTGATCCTTTCGGAGATTTTTATTGAGCAAATTGTGGTTGAATAAAATGGAATTTCGTTTTGTTCTATGATACAAGCGATATTCTAAACTACGGATAAGGGGATTCAAACTTGGTACATAGGAGAGCACATCTTCTTTTGCTAATGTGACTACGCCCACGTCTCGAAGTTTATCCGTACATGTAGAGAAGAAACACTAGGGTTTTACTTGAGATTTTGAGCTATGGGGTTATCTGGGTTTTTCCTAATATGTATGCTCCACTCTGTTGTTGCTTTGATTTGTGGAGCTTTGATGATGTTTTACTCTTATGAATTCTCTGTGTTCATCCATGGCCATGATACAGCAAGCAAGCTCCAAGGATCAACACCTCACGACCGGCTTTTGATCCGAACCGCAGATTCCTTCTCCGGTCTGCTCCTATTTGCCATTGGATTCCTTCTATTCATGGTTGCTTTTGTCAAGGACAACAAGTTCCAGAGCTTCTTTGCCAAGGGTTGTGTGTTGCTTCACATTTCTATGGCCATTTGGAGAGTTTACTTTGAAAGGGACATTCAAGACCTAGCCGGAGACTGGCCAAACAGGTCGCCGGCGATATCACATTGGCGCTTTCGTGGGCATTACTTCTTGTGTACTCATGGAGGGAGAAGTATGATTAGCAAAGAACTGCAGTTGCCTTGCTTGAAATTCCATGGTGCTCCGAAGTTTCTTATATTTCAGGGTTGCACATTTTTCATTTGTTGGAAATGGAATTGTGGTTTTCGTTCCTCAGCTTCTTGGTCATATGATGTTGGAAATGGGAATCATCATGTCTAACAAAACAAATGATGTTGAATTCTGGTAACTCCAAGAATTGCAAATAAAGAAAAACAAAGATTAGATTTCACACTTGTGGTTAGTTTATAGGTTGCTTGGATCTTGTTAATCTTGAACATGTTCTACAAACTCCCTTGTTCATTTGCAATTTTGCACATTCAGTTGTGCCCCTCTTGTAAATTTCCTCACACTATAGATCGAATAAAATGACGGGAAATGCATTTACTTATATCTTTCACTTGGTTTTACGACTTATGTCTTTCACTTGGTTGGACAACAATGTGTGACAAATTAATGTAATTCACGTTTATATTTTTCAGAATTCGTAAAAAGAGTACAACATACAGTTAGAAGGCCATTCTTAACATGGTTTTGGCAGTTTGTGCTACAATTTTATATTGACGTTAGGTTAATTTGTTTGATAAGATACAAAAAAAAAGAAAGAAAGAGTCAATTTGATAAAAGCTATAAAAAATAAATAAAAAAAGAAAAGAAAAAGAAATGAAAGTTTTCAGCATATATTTTGTAGGCCCACTAAGCCCAACACAAGAGTTGACTCTCCGACACAACGCGTGATCAATTAAGTTAATTTACGTTTGTATTTTTTAGAGTTTGTAAAGAAGGTACAACATATAGTTAGAAGACCATTCGTAACATGGTTTTGGCAGTCTGTGCTACAATTTTATATTGACGTTAGGTTAATTTGTCTGATAAAAAAAAGAAAGAGTTAATTTGATAAAAGCCATAAAAAAAATTAAAAAGAAAAAGAAATGAAAGTTTTCAGCATATTTTTTGTAGGCCCACAGAGCCCAAGACAGGGGTTGACCCTTCGACTCATACGCGGCCCAGTTTTAGCCTCGAAATTTTGAGCGGCCACTTTCGTCTTCAGAGAACAAATACCTTTTCTCTGCTCCCACTTTCTGCCTTCCAGAAAACGCAAAGCTTCTTCCTTTCAGCTTCTCCTCCTCCTTCCTTTTCAGCGGTAAGTAATTCCTTCCTTCTCTCATACATTTCTGTTACCAATTTCGTTACCCTTCTGAGACATATTTACTTGTCCATCCAATAAATTATGTATGTAAAGTTCCAAAATCTCTGTGGTTATGGCTGTGTTGTTGTTTGATTAGATGGGTTGCTTTACTTTTCATCTGGGTTTTCTGCTTTGCCTTTGTATTTAATATTTATAGTTTCTGCTGCTTTTGGTGAATATGTAGTATTTATGCGGGAGTTTGCTTGTAGTAACAAAGTGCCCACCGTATGTTTGAAGAAATGCCCGAGTGGGTGTTGGATAAAGGACGTGTCTTGAATCTTGATTGAAATCCGGAACTATGGTGAAAAATTTTATTTCTTCATCTGGGTTTTTTGTTTTGGGATCCTGTGGATTTGTGCTCGTTTGGAGAAGTAGGGTTTAGGGTTTTTGCTTTTCGGTTGATTTCCTCACTTTTACACGAGCTAGTGTCTAGTGATTAGGCTAATCCGTGATTAACGTATTGTAGGGGGTGTTTTTCTATAAATTACGACGCCATATCTCTCTCTTCCATTCAATCTGTTTAGGTATGATATGGTGCATACCATCCTTCATGAATACATGTTGATCATTGAGGCTGCTCTGAGTGAAGCTGATGTTCTTTGTTTTCTTTCTTGTTTTTTAGTAGCATATTTCTGTTAGGTCTTGAAGAACTTTGAGAAATGGGTGGACTGCCGGCAGAAAATACTTCCTCTGCCTTGGTTTTGCAAAGGTCACAGCCTAATCAAGGATCAGCAGTCACTACTCCTGCTCTGGACACAAAGCCAAAGAAGAAGATCTGCTGTGCTTGCCCGGATACTAAGAAGCTGCGAGATGAATGCATTGTAGAACATGGTCAAGATGCTTGCACAAAATGGATCGATGCTCATCTCAAGTGCCTTCGTGCAGAGGGCTTCAGTGTTTGAAATATCCGGATGGTTAAGATAATAAATTGAAGGCTATGTTCAACAGTTTTGAAGGGAAACCATTTACTTTAGGTTTAGACATACAACATGGTAATATTTGAACGTTGGTGAATAATACAAGGAAGAAGAGCTTCTGTAGTTCTGTCTACTGTTAGATGCAACCATATTTGACTTGTATATACTTAAATATTACTGAGACTTACACCTTCAAACGTTATAGAGTTACAACATGTGATCTTAATATATGCTATTGTCTTGGCTAATTGTAAGGCTCTCTCGAATTAGTTTATCATTCAACTATTCGTAAATTCCTTGATGAACTAATGCCTTGCTAACCTCTTATTCACGAGGATTAACATAAATAAACATACACGCCTAGTTGGTGTTGTCTCAAACGAATCATGAGATGTTATGTGGCTATGCGTTTCATTTCATGTAAATCCCTTTCCCTAGTCACACCACCCATACAGTGAAATGGGATTTCTATTTCCGCGTTTTGTGCCATTCGTTTTGGTGGCTCAAGGAGCAAAAGGAATCAAAACATCTTCAAATGCTAAATAAAATGATTGAGCATTCTAATCTTCTCCCATTTAATACCAATCCCAAGATCCAAAAGGGTTTCCAATAAGAACATATTGGACATATCCGTCATATTTTATTTCATTTTTATATAACGGTGATATCGGAGGGATAATCGAACATCAAACCTCAGATGAAAGGGTAAATTAAACTACTTGAGCTATAAGTCCATTATCCACAATATTGTATGCAAGAATACATCTATTACATTCCTATCTGCAATTCCTTGATTAATTGCAGCTATGATGTGAAGCAAAATTATGGTTAGGGAGAAAATAAAATGGAATTAAGAGAGCCAAAGCATGTATTCTAATAATATCATTTCATAACATCACAAGGCCACGAACATGGCGATTACATGACACAATCACAGAGACAGTGACAGGTTTTCACAGACACTACATGTCACTCAACAGACACAAATACTATAAACAAACCAAAGACAAAGCCACAACGTTGTTTTCCCACAAACACTTTATTCGTTTACATCTTTAATTTGGTTGTATGGGTTTAGTGACCACAGGTGCAGCTCACACATGAGCAGCCTGTGCCGCACTTGCACTTTCCGTCGTGCTCGGCGGCAGGAGCATCCACGAAGACGGTCCATGGAGCTGCAAAATTAATCAAAACTCTCCACAGTTAGTCTGAAGGAAACAAAGAGAAGAAAAGTTAATTCTTAAAATGTATTGAAGTTTATGACAAAAGTACCGGTTCTCAGTCTCAACGATCACCAAGTCGTAGCTGTTTCCCTTCTTCCTGCGATTTAAAAAATTGGCATTTTAAAGCTTTGAAGGCATATATGCACCAATTAGATCGAAAAAAATGAATCCGAAACAGCAGATCTTCAACGTCAAGAAGAGAAATACCACATACTAGAGCTAAATCATTTCAGTTAAGCCCTCCATCAGTTATTTAATTCGCATTAAGCAAGTAAATACCCTATATAATCTTGTTATTAAGCGAGTAAACTACTAGTTGGTAACCCTAGTCGAACCCTTTCTATTCGAGAAACATTTAGGTGTCACCGAGGATATATCACCATATTCCTATAGCACTAATCACGTATCTTGATTTGATTAGCACTATAGCTAGGGTTTAGTCTTCAGCGATACATCCATGGTGTCATACCTACGAGGATATCCAAGACCTTCCCATCTGTATAGTCTATATACAAAAGAAAGACTTTCATAACACAAATACACTATCATTGTAATAAAAACTATTTCGGCTGTGTTGTGAGAATAAACTTATTTTTGCTGCTTCCCGTTTTCAGTTTTTTTTTTTCACCCAAAACCGTAAAAATAAGTTATTTTTAATTATTTACCAAACACCTTTTTAAGCTCAGTACCAAACCAGTATTTAGCCATGCAAGATTTACAGATCCATAACTAAACTGATAAAGAAGCATTACTTACACGCACTGGGTGCTGTCAGCGCAGTCGCAGTTGTCGCACTTCCCCGACATGTTGCAGATGAACTTAGAACTTGGAACTGAAGTGTGTTTTAGGGTTTAGCTCGAAGGGTATTTTGCTTGCTGTATCTCCAATCTGCACCATCGTCCTGAATTTATAGATGCACGGAGAGGGAAGAAGCAAGGGTGATAGTTGCTGGGAGGTGGGGCCTACAGTAGATAGTAAGGTGTAGTTGGGGGCCTCGAGGCATGTGGGAAGCACATGTCTCCCGAGAAACGTCCGAAGGAATCTTGATAATGGAGGGCTTGGTTTGCTATCCTCCTCTCGTGTCAACTTCAGTTCTCTTGTTTACAAGATGACCAAATCACTTCGTGCACGCATATTGAGATATGAGTTGATATGTATCTCTCTCTCACTCTCAAGTTCTTAACTCATGAATTGGGAAAAGATTATAGATTAATTGTTATCCCTAAAGCTCTTAGTTTGTAGTATAATTAATGGAGATAAGCATGCACTTTGGCCTTTATAAAAGACATATGGGAGAAACTTGAGTGTAATCGACAATATCTCTCATTCTAAATCTCTCATAAAGTGATCAAGAATATCTCCAAAGACTCGATTTGTTAAACTATTTTTGAAAGAGTTAAAACTTTTTTAACGTGATCAAATATCGTGGAAGAACACATGCATGCTTCTTCAGGAAATATTTTCAAGTGCTTCATGCATAAGTACTTAATTAGTCGCAAATGTTCAGTTTATTGGAGATAATAACTGGCAAGGCGAGGTCGGATTATCCGACTCGGATACGCCCTCCTGCAGTCCTCACTCCCAAAATAACCCCATCCCCCCATCCTCCCCACTCCATCCCCATTCGGCATGGGTTTGGGAAATTGAATCATCTGTATTTTATTGACAGAGATTATATGCAGCAAATTGAAACCGCTTTAGGAGCACCAAAAACTTACTAGTGGATTGTGATTTTTTTTTTCCAGCCTTAATGTTCATTGTGATTACTAATTAGATATAGTATAAAAATTACAGGAATATTAAAACTTGAGTAATGCTATTTATACCATGTTTTTGTACCACATTTTCATAGTGGCATCTGATGTGGACATCCATATCATCTGAAAAATTTACAAAACCTAAGGAAAGGAAGGAGAAAGACTCCTAGTATACCACAATCATGATTTAATTAATTAATTTTTCTTAATTATTAGTTTATTAAATAATGAACTAAATTTAAAAATTTGATTAATTCAAATGATGTGACTGTTCACATCAAATGCCATCTAAAGTGGTATGAAAATATGATACAAAAACATGGTATGAATAACATTACTCTTAAAACTTAAAAGGTTGTACTACCTTATAGGCTTATACGCATGTAAAAGCACAAATTCCCACGAAGTTTTCACCATCCAAGTGTCCAGAGAACTTGCCAAATTTGGCATCGAATTTAAGAGACGAGAACATATCTGCTTAACTTGGAACAAACCAACAAATGCTGGCCTAAAGAGAAAATAGTTGGTAATTTGCTCCTCACTTATTCGCATTGATTCTTTCTCTTGAGACCATTCTTTAAACAAAAATGCTATATATTTTTGCCCCAATTTAAATCTCATATTTGTATCATATTAATAAGAGAGTTTTAACGAAAAGCTCATGATACTGTTCACTTTATCGAAAAACCACATTTGTACACTAAAAAGTAAAACCTGCTACTATTGACTTTACCTTTTATTTTGTCCTTATCATTAAAACTCAAAGTTTTCAAGCCATTTTCATTAGTTTTTCTTATTAATAAAGATAGACCCACATATATCGATGTGCAACTTCGAATTGAATAGCTTTGCATTTTGGATTCTTGTAAGTTTCTTATAATCTAAGGGCTTTTATGTAGGCCAAAATTTTGCTACAAGCCATTTGTTTTTCTTCAAATTAAGGAACTTGGAGCACAAAATAACAAGTTAGTTATGTGATGGTGTTCTAGTACCACAAAATAATTTTTTTTACATAAGAAAGAGATCAATCATAGAAATGGTACTCGATATCGCAAAGTTTTTGAAATTAAACAACTTAAATCTTGAATAACTTAAAATTAGACAATCAAATATATACCAACTTTGTTGTGTTTAATAGTTCTTTTAAGGTGATTTTACATTAATGAAGAAAATAAAAAAGTTCTTGGTGACTTTCAAAGCAATTGCTTCTCCGAGTAGCCAGCGTTGCTTTCAAACATTTTTCAGAGGAAGTATAGCCTTACATTCCCATGTACATTATTTTTCCATCTTTTTATCTACGAGTAGGGAAGAAAGATATACATATATATATATATATATGTGAATTGTTATTAGCATTCTAAAAATTTCATTTTATACTTCAAACTTTCTATATTAGGAAAAAAATATACACTTATGAGGAGTGTAGAATGAGATTTTTGAAGTACCAATAATACTTCATATATGTCACAGCCCGTCCCGGAAAATTATTCTCATGGATGGGAAATGTCGAGAATACCCTTAAATGTTTCATGGGATTTAATATTAGGGTTTATTTGGTTGCCCTAGCTTAATTTTGGATAATTTGGGACTTAGACTTTTTGTTTGGTTGTAGATGTGGGTTTGGTGATGTGTCAGTGTGAGGACCACACACACACACCCAAAACTTCCTCTCTCTCTCACCCTTCCGTACTCTCTCGGACACACTCTCTCTCTCTCTCTCTCTCTCTTCTTCTCTCTTGTACGGACTACACCCAAAACCCATCGAAAGTGTGAAGATCGAGGGTATGAAGCACACCATTGTGTTCGTGAGAACCATACGAGTTGAATGGTACCATTTTCAGGTAAGAACTCCATTGGTTTATCGAAAAACCACATTTGTACACTAAAAAGTCAAACCTGCTACTATTCACTTTACCTTTTATTTTGTGCTTATCATTAAAACTCAAAGTTTTCAAGCCATTTTCATTAGTTTTTCTTATTAATAAAGATAGACCCACATATATTGATGTGCAACTTCGAATTGAATAGCTTTGCATTTTGGATTCTTGTAAGTTTCTTATAATCTAAGGGCTTTTATGTAGGCCAAAATTTTGCTACAAGCCATTTGTTTTTCTTCAAATTAAGGAACTTGGAGCACAAAATAACAAGTTAGTTATGTGATGGTGTTCTAGTACCACAAAAAATAATTTTTTTACATAAGAAAGAGATCAATCATAGAAATGGTACTCGATATCACAAAGTTTTTGAAATTAAAACAACTTAAATCTTGAATAACTTAAAATTAGACAATCAAATATATACCAACTTTGTTGTGTTTAATAGTTCTTTTAAGGTGATTTTACATTAATGAAGAAAATAAAAAAGTTCTTGGTGACTTTCAAAGCAATTGCTTCTCCGAGTAGCCAGCGTTGCTTTCAAACATTTTTCAGAGGAAGTATAGCCTTACATTCCCATGTACATTATTTTTTCCATCTTTTTTATCTACGAGTAGGGAAGAAAGATATACATACATATATATATATATATATGTGAATTGTTATTAGCATTCTAAAAATTTCATTTTATACTTCAAACTTTCTATATTAGGAAAAAAATATACACTTATGAGGAGTGTAGAATGAGATTTTTGAAGTACCAATAATACTTCATATATGTCACAGCCCGTCCCGGAAAATTATTCTCATGGATGGGAAATGTCGAGAATACCCTTAAATGTTTCATGGGATTTAATATTAGGGTTTATTTGGTTGCCCTAGCTTAATTTTGGGTAATTTGGGACTTAGACTTTTTGTTTGGTTGTAGATGTGGGTTTGGTGATGTGTCAGTATGAGGACCACACACACACACCCAAAATTTCCTCTCTCTCTCACCCTTCCGTACTCTCTCGGACACACTCTCTCTCTCTCTCTCTCTTCTTCTCTCTTGTACGGACTACACCCAAAACCCATCGAAAGTGTGAAGATAGAGGGTATGAAGCACACCATTGTGTTTGTGAGAACCATACGAGTTGAATGGTACCATTTTCAGGTAAGAACTCCATTGGTTTATCGAAAAACCACATTTGTACACTAAAAAGTCAAACCTGCTACTATTGACTTTACCTTTTATTTTGTCCTTATCATTAAAACTCAAAGTTTTCAAGCCATTTTCATTAGTTTTTCTTATTAATAAAGATAGACCCACATATATTGATGTGCAACTTCGAATTGAATAGCTTTGCATTTTGGATTCTTGTAAGTTTCTTATAATCTAAGGGCTTTTATGTAGGCCAAAATTTTGCTACAAGCCATTTGTTTTTCTTCAAATTAAGGAACTTGGAGCACAAAATAACAAGTTAGTTATGTGATGGTGTTCTAGTACCACAAAATAATTTTTTTTACATAAGAAAGAGATCAATCATAGAAATGGTACTCGATATCGCAAAGTTTTTGAAATTAAACAACTTAAATCTTGAATAACTTAAAATTAGACAATCAAATATATACCAACTTTGTTGTGTTTAATAGTTCTTTTAAGGTGATTTTACATTAATGAAGAAAATAAAAAAGTTCTTGGTGACTTTCAAAGCAATTGCTTCTCCGAGTAGCCAGCGTTGCTTTCAAACATTTTTCAGAGGAAGTATAGCCTTACATTCCCATGTACATTATTTTTCCATCTTTTTATCTACGAGTAGGGAAGAAAGATATACATATATATATATATATATGTGAATTGTTATTAGCATTCTAAAAAATTTCATTTTATACTTCAAACTTTCTATATTAGGAAAAAAATATACACTTATGAGGAGTGTAGAATGAGATTTTTGAAGTACCAATAATACTTCATATATGTCACAGCCCGTCCCGGAAAATTATTCTCATGGATGGGAAATGTCGAGAATACCCTTAAATGTTTCATGGGATTTAATATTAGGGTTTATTTGGTTGCCCTAGCTTAATTTTGGATAATTTGGGACTTAGACTTTTTGTTTGGTTGTAGATGTGGGTTTGGTGATGTGTCAGTGTGAGGACCACACACACACACCCAAAACTTCCTCTCTCTCTCACCCTTCCGTACTCTCTCAGACACACTCTCTCTCTCTCTCTCTTCTTCTCTCTTGTACGGACTACACCCAAAACCCATCGAAAGTGTGAAGATCGAGGGTATGAAGCACACCATTGTGTTTGTGAGAACCATACGAGTTGAATGGTACCATTTTCAGGTAAGAACTCCATTGGTTTATCGAAAAACCACATTTGTACACTAAAAAGTCAAACCTGCTACTATTCACTTTACCTTTTATTTTGTGCTTATCATTAAAACTCAAAGTTTTCAAGCCATTTTCATTAGTTTTTCTTATTAATAAAGATAGACCCACATATATTGATGTGCAACTTCGAATTGAATAGCTTTGCATTTTGGATTCTTGTAAGTTTCTTATAATCTAAGGGCTTTTATGTAGGCCAAAATTTTGCTACAAGCCATTTGTTTTTCTTCAAATTAAGGAACTTGGAGCACAAAATAACAAGTTAGTTATGTGATGGTGTTCTAGTACCACAAAATAATTTTTTTTACATAAGAAAGAGATCAATCATAGAAATGGTACTCGATATCACAAAGTTTTTGAAATTAAACAACTTAAATCTTGAATAACTTAAAATTAGACAATCAAATATATACCAACTTTGTTGTGTTTAATAGTTCTTTTAAGGTGATTTTACATTAATGAAGAAAATAAAAAAGTTCTTGGTGACTTTCAAAGCAATTGCTTCTCCGAGTAGCCAGCGTTGCTTTCAAACATTTTTCAGAGGAAGTATAGCCTTACATTCCCATGTACATTATTTTTCCATCTTTTTATCTACGAGTAGGGAAGAAAGATATATATATATATATATATATATATATATATATATATATATATATATATATATGTGAATTGTTATTAGCATTCTAAAAATTTCATTTTATACTTCAAACTTTCTATATTAGGAAAAAAATATACACTTATGAGGAGTGTAGAATGAGATTTTTGAAGTACCAATAATACTTCATATATGTCACAGCCCGTCCCGGAAAATTATTCTCATGGATGGGAAATGTCGAGAATACCCTTAAATGTTTCATGGGATTTAATATTAGGGTTTATTTGGTTGCCCTAGCTTAATTTTGGATAATTTGGGACTTAGACTTTTTGTTTGGTTGTAGATGTGGGTTTGGTGATGTGTCAGTGTGAGGACCACACACACACACCCAAAACTTCCTCTCTCTCTCACCCTTCCGTACTCTCTCGGACACACTCTCTCTCTCTCTCTCTCTCTTCTTCTCTCTTGTACGGACTACACCCAAAACCCATCGAAAGTGTGAAGATCGAGGGTATGAAGCACACCATTGTGTTCGTGAGAACCATACGAGTTGAATGGTACCATTTTCAGGTAAGAACTCCATTAAAAACTCGCGAAATCCGAACCCCGATTTGAGGTACTATTCATGCTCACGTAAAATGTTGATTTTTAGGGAATTTTAAGGACATATGAAGCTTTAGGAGGTCCTAAGGAGGCTCGGAATGGTTCATTGGGTGAAATTGGACGTCTGGATCGGGAGTTTCAAGCTTGGCCGGATTTTGTGGAATTTCTCCGGCGAGATTCCGTGACTTTTGGAGCTTCAAATTGGTAAGGAAATGTTCTTCAAGTTGTAAGCTTCATTTTGGTGCAAATTTCGTAGGAAATGGATGAAAAATGAGTGAGATATAGCGATTTGAAAAATTCCCAGTTTTCCGGCGACAACGACTGTCGCCGGAGTCTGAGGTTGAAGACGACGGAATATTCCGTCAATTCTGACGGAATATTCTGACGTCATCAGTTAAGTTTAACGGAATCTGTTAGGATTTAGCGGAATATTCCCTAACTGTCGTTACTGTTTCCGTTAGGGTTTCCTGCGCGTGGCCGCGCATCTTGTTGTGCACTCGCCGGCGCGTGGTCGCCCGTGGGTGGATGAAAAATTATTTTAAAAATTTGGGGACGATCCTGAGATTGTATAGGTCACTATGGTATATTCATATACCCAATTTGAGCTATGTATGAGAAGTTATTAGCTAGTTTTGCCTATGTGCTTTAAATAACGTTTTTATAGTTAATTCGCATATAGGTGAGACTTATCCCGAGGACGAGCGGGTTCAAGGGTGACTTGGGGGCTACAACCCTTCAACATATCCGTGAGTGGGCTTTTGGTTTTCAGTATATATGTATATACTTGATATTTTCCAAGAAATATGTGTTTAAATGAAAGTATGCCTTACATGCCATGCATATGAAATTATATTTCATATATGAATTGGTATATGATCCATTATATATATAATTGTGGTGTTGTGGACGCTCAGGTAAGCTCAGGTGAGTTATGTTTGGTTATGTGAATTATCAATGATGTGATATGTGATTGAATAACGTTGAGCTCATCAAACTGCACCTAGGATGATTGTGATTTTAGCCAGAGATATGGCACATGCCTGTTTATTATGTCACCTCCCGCACTATATGCTCATATTGGATCCAATTTAGGTGCACAGTCCTGTCGCATAGACCATCTTAGGTGGTTCCGACTCGTAGGTGACTAGCGATTTATCGTCCAACTATTATGTGTGAGTAGTATTGAGCATGATTATATTACACCCATTATTGTCGTACAGACCTTTTCATTTGGTTCCGACACTTGTGCAATATTATGTGTGAGTAGTATTGAGCATGATTATATTACACCCATTATTGTCGTACAGACCTTTTCATTTGGTTCCGACACTTGTGCAATATAGTGCCGTATAGGTCATTATAGTGACTTTGGCTAGATTGACTTTTGAGCTATGAATTCAGCCGTACAGACTACCACAGGGGTTCCGGCTAACATGTTATATTTATATGAAATTATTCTTACCTGAATTGCTTACTTTGTTATATCTTGGCATGGCATACATATGAATATGATTATGTGAAGCATGATTTGAATTGATATAATTACATAAATATTTATGTATATGCATATATCTTGATTCTGGGAAAAATTATACATGTTTTACAGCGAGGGATTATATATGTTGATAAATGAAATGGTTTTGTAAAACATTTGTTTTTGCCCACTCACGTTTCCTGTTTTGCGCTCCTCCAGGTTTTAAGTAAGCTTGCTATCGGTGGCCTTAAGGATTTCGACGGTTCTGACATATTTAAACAATAGTAGGACATTCTTGATACTGTATAACTAGTACTTGTCCTACTGGACTGCACCTAGACTTATTATGCTCTGATTATGAGTATTTACTTTCGTAATTGACTCCTAACACTTCTCGCTTTCTAGTGCACTCTAGTAGTTTTAGTTTTTAATTATTTGTATATTTCTTATCTTAATTGCTTCCGCATTGTGCACATGGCTACGTCACCCTCATGTGATGGCCATCATGCCTTGATCTCGATCGGGGTGTGTCACTATATATATATATATATATATATCATTGCACCTGTCCTCCTCATACTCTACTTTCTGTTTAACAGTCTTGCTCTTCTAAGGTCATCATTTTGAAAATCTATGAGGATCAAATGCATATTGGCCACAAAATCATATTAGTTTATGTCCAAATGCTTAAAATATTTGACAACTTAATAAACTAATATTTTAAGTTGGTTTTGCTTTATTAAATTATCAAATAATTTAAGTCTTTGGATGTAAACTAGTATAATCTTGTAGCTAATATGCATTTGGTTCCGCCTAAGCCTTAAAAATGAGGACTTTAGACCATCTCAAACCGAACAAGGGCCAGAGGGTTCGTTTTAGCCCTTTGGCCTTCTAAGATATTAATATTTTAATGAACAGTACATGGTCATATTTGCCTCCATCTCCAACCGAGGGTCAAAGCGTCATAGGACTCTTTTTAGCCCTGTCACAAAAAATCGTCTCCAACTGAAGGCTAAACATAAATTATTATTTAAATTTAAAAACAACAACAACTTATATTTAAAAACTAAAAATTAAATTTAAAAACAACATTAACTTAAATTTAAAACTACAAGAACTTAAATTTAATATCCATAATCAACATCATCTTCATCATCTGCCATTGTAGGAGTATAGTCAGAGGTAAACAACTGTCGCCGGGTCATAATATATATATATATTTTTTTATCAAAATAGGCCTTACTCATTGGAGTGTAATTCGAAGTGTTCATTTCCATATTCTTATCATCCATCTCTTCTTATATTTGTTTGGCCTGTTCTTCATGCCTACGGTTCCTTTCTTCCGCGGCAATGGCATTTTGCTCCGCCATTAATCGCAATGAGGCTGCCACTTCCTATTGAGCGGCGTAATCATCATTTGCCTTACCCTTTTCCTTCAACCTTCGAGCTTTGTTTCGTCCCATAGCCCTAGGTATGGAACCTTCACCCGAAGACGAATTTTCTACCCTAATGGCAGGAGATCCATCTTCATCCATATCTGCAGCTGAGGATGTAGTTCCGAACATTGGTGTAGGAGCTACTCTATGTTGAGGTGGATCTTCAAATAACACCCAATCTTTACAAATTTCCCAACAACTGTGAAACTGAAAGGGTTTCAAGCTGCCCTCCATATGCAATTCCTCCGCTTGCCGTACCTAGAAAATATAATTACAAAAATTAAAGGAAATTAATTTATGAAATTAAATGTAATATAATTAAATATATTTACAAAAACTAAGGGAAAGTAATTCATGAAATTAAATGTAATATAATTAAATATTTAAAATAAATTGTGAAAACACTTACTTCGTCGTAGTAGTTAGCGCCGCTTATATGTTTACTTGCGGCTGCTAACAGTGCTTGATGCCATCTGTTCAAACTTGGGTGAAGATGTTTTTTTCATCTTGAAGAACAACTCTCATGGTTTCGGATATTTAGTGGAACGGTGCCTTCGTAGAAATCTAAGTATTTTTTGGACACACGAGTCCAAACACTTTCACTTGTTTGAGAACTCTCCCTCACACTATCTTCCGACACACATCTATAAGCCTTGCAAAGAGCTTCATCTTCTTTTCGGGTCCAAGCCCTACCTTTCATTGCAGACGAGGCCATTTGAAAATTATTGAAAGAATTGAAGGAACTATTTTTGAAAGAGGTAAGAAAATATGAGAATTGAAATGGTGAAAAATTTGTGTGGAATGGTGAATGAATGGTTTAGGTATTCATAGGAAAAAAATGAGAATTTAAGAATTAAAAAAAATATATTTGGCCCAAAAAAAAAAATCAACAGTAACTAACGTCAGCTAGCCGTTGCATTTGAAATTTGGCTTAGAATTCCTATCGGATATAACCGATAGGATTGATGAGATTTCTAGCCAGCCCTTTGGCCCTTTCAGATTTTGTGGGGCCCACGAGCCCTCTGGCCAAACCCTCGGTTGGAGATGATTTTTGGGCCTTTTTTGGCCCTCTGGCCCTCTGGACTCTTCGGTTGGAGATGATCTTAGGTGAGCAAGACTCTTCTGTTAAACCATGTCCAAATCAAAGTTTGTAGGTGTAGTTAGTGAATTTAAAGGGACCAAAATAGAAATAAACGTTCACCAAAAAAATTAAAGAAATAAACAAAAAAGGCTTAAAATTCTTAAGGTTAACATTTTATTATGGTTAAAATTTCCGACATGATTTTTATCAAAGCCCACTAAATATCTTATCATCTTCATACGAATTATTGATACATATAATCAATAAATATCGTACTTTAAAAAAAAGAAAAATAAAAGTGATTCATTGTTAATAGAAGGAACAAATAAATTTGACCACAGGAGAAAGAGTGGGGGTTTGAGCGTAGCGGAGCAAGCTATATATGAAATCGGATTTTGGATTTTTCAATGTCATTGGTTGTAGTAAATGGAAAACTGGAAACTGACATGAGCAACTAAACCCACTCATTCTCAAATGAGATTGAGTCCATTCATCCCCTGACTTCATCAATGGTTCATAAATAATGTATTTTTGCCTGGTTGGTCTTTAGGATTGGATTATAAATTATAATGAATAACCTCCTATATGTTTTGAGTGCACTGAAACGAGAATCTTTTTATTTATTATTTATTTTTATAAGTTCATAAGACACCTATCCTCCCGTAAAAGTGAGAACCCACAATGACCAAATGATCAAAGAAACCGACAACAAGGACAAAATGAAATGTCACGAGCATGAGCAGAGGCAACAAAATTTGGAACCGTAGACCACTAGTGATAAGCATACCTATCTGTTCTAAATGAAGCTAAAGATCGCAACCTAATTTCCTTCTTGATAAATATGTGTACATATAAACCACATTTGACAAGGTTGTCATAAACAATTCTTCCAATCCACCATAAGGAACCAAGGGATTGCATTAGGAGCCTTGAAAAGATAATGCGGGTTCTTACATGTAAGAAACAATTCCATATTGTAGAAATACAGTTTGATGTCCCTTTAGGAACACAATATGGGTGGAAAATAATAAGTTGATACGTGTGGAAAATCTTTTTGGCTTAAATGTTAAAATGGTCCCTGTGTTATAGCTATTTGGCAAATTTAGTTTTCGTGTTTTCAATTTGGGCAATTTAGTCCTCATGTTTATCTCCGTTAACCAAATAAAGATGTTCCATTAAATCTTTATTAGAAAATTGGCTTAAAATTCACAATGGTCATTGTGTTTTAATCATTGGCTCAATTGGTCTCCGTGTTTTAAATTTGGCCAATTCGGTCTTTGTATTTATCTCTGTTAGCCAATTAAGGACATTCCATCTCTGTTAAAAAATTCATAGATTATTATACTTATTTATAAAATTATCTATTTGATTTAAAATAATTAAAAATGAAATAAAATAAAAAAGTTAAGAGAAAAATTATTCTCCTCCCAACTCCCCGACCCTCCTCCCCAACATTCTCTCTTCTCCCAATTTTCTTGCAACGCCCCCCCCCCCTAATTTTCTATGTCACAACCTTAATAATTTTCAGATTGGAAGTTTTATCTCTTATATGTGTCATTTCTCATTGATTTTCATTTTTCTCTTCTGTAAATTTAAATTTAAATAAAGAGAAAGGGTAATATATGGCTCTCTCAATTGCAGTTTGTTTCTCTATTATATAGTTGGAGACAAGGCTGTCGGAATTAATTTCTTGAGACTATGATGGTGGAACTTACGCTGTAACATGTGAGGTTGGGGTGGATCTAGGGACATATTCGTCGGGTTGCATGCATGTGTGGCTAGGGTTGGGTAGAATAGGTTCTAATACATATTTTTTTAATTTTGAAATCATATTTCTTTCTATTTTACTTGAAAATATTTTTTCTGTAATAGGTTATAATATTTTTATAAATTTACTCTTCTTGAAGTATTGTGGCCAATTCACATTAATAGATTATTTACAAGAAAATTAGGGGCTGATTGTAACAGATGGTGGATGAGGGCTTGCGATGATGGCGGAGGAGGGATCAACCGAAGCGACGACCGAGGGATCAACATAATCGACGGTTGATGGTGACGAAGATGTGGCCATTTTGGCATGTCTCTTGCGAGGTTGAAAATATTTTGATATTTTGGGGAAATAATGTGATTTCGATAGTCATTGATATGGATGTGTTGCAACGATTTAGAGCTATAGTATATCCTTCCATTGGGCCATGCGCTTGAAGTGAGTCGCATTGAAGTTGAAGGGTTCTCTTTACAGAGGCAGATTCTCTGCCCTCCCATTTCCCGTACCCTTCTGTTTGTGTGGTCACAGTTAAGCCACGTCAACATTTTATATTACTATTCATTTTTATCTTATTATCTCTATAAAAAAAATAATATAAAATGTTGACGTGGCTTAACCATGACCACACAAAACAGGAGGGCACAGAAAGTGAGAGAGGAGAGAATCTGCCTCCTCTCTTTACACCCAAAACTCCTCTTCAGACACCTAGCCCATACCTTATCCGAATTTTCTACTTTTTAATCTACAATTTAAAACATTTTCTTTTTCTTCAAAGAAATGATAGCATCTACACTAAGGAGATGGGAGAGTGGGCTAAACTTCACAATGAGTTAGCAATAATATGGTTCAAATTCGCATTTGACGAGAAACGAACCTAAGACATTTCACTTACAAGTGAATATGAATACCATTAGACCGTAGTACTAAGTGACAATCTATAATTTAAAACCTTAGACCAAAAAATAGAATAAGCTATCAACCTTCCTTATTTGTATCTATTTTTGTTCTGAACAACTCTCCATATCAAGGCGCCAACGCAAGGAGGAGAAGGAACTAGAGTTTGAATCATTAACCATTTTCCCCAAATAAGCAAAACTCTATCCTCCT